CACGTCCATACATTTATTAGCATATTGCCAGATATAGCAAATAGCCCCTCCCCCGCCTAATGATGCAGAAATGTAAAACAACTGCGACTCGGAGCGTTCCAACCCATTTCCTCTCCGCTCTATCGCTCCTTGGTTCCCTGGATCCTTGGCTCCTTTGCTCCGTTTTCCGAAGTCATGTGGAGCAAAGAGGGATTGTCATTGGCAATTGTGATGTGGCATACTGATTTTGTTATTCTGCGAGCTGACTCCGCGTGACGTACGCGCTTTTTATTCCCCAAACGTGCTGCGAAATCGAAAGTTGCAAAGTAACCAGAGTGCAGAACTATCCTTTGAAAAAGAAAACCATTCCCTTCGAGTTATGTCCTCTTCGCTTGCCACAAACAAACATTAATGATGAGGAGGATTGCAGTTTTTAAATTTTGTTTTATTTGGTTAGAATAACCAATGCATCTATAAAATTAAATATACAATTTAAGTAGCTCTTCAAGATTTATTGCTTGGATCCCTTCACTTATTGGCGAAATGCACAACTTTCTAGTAGTCAAAATTTGAGGGGTCATGGAAAGGATTCCGCTGAAAGGAGATGCGCTTAACTCGAATATTGCAGCTGAGTGTCTAAAGTTTATACTTCAACTTTCTTTTGGAAGGCAAAGTGACGAGTTGCAGTGGAAAACTTCGTCGGGCGAAAACAGTGGGATGCCCGAAACTCTCAAGTTAAATTGTTTGGCGTGGCGTGGCGAAAATATTTTCACAAGCCAATAAATATTGGCCAAAAGGGTCGTGGCCTGAAGTTATTAAGGTAGTCTTACTAATTCTCCTCTTCATTTCTTCATAATTCAACCGTAAATAAACTTTTACTGTTCGTCTTATTGACTTTAACGTCTGCCCTTTGATGAATGCCAAAGAAAATCCCATCTTATAAACCTACTTGGTCAAATGAAATTCCACGCAATAGGCTTCTGTCTGCAAAAAAAGAAAGAAAAATTCAACTTTCTGCTAATGACCAGTTATAAATAAATTTAACGCCAAGATAAAATGCATATTATTTAATTATCATATTCATATTTTGCGGTGAGGTTTTGTCTTAATCTTTTTTTCTGCGCTTATAAACGTGAAGAACAGGTGTTAATCTGAGTGGTCATTTTTATTCCTTTATTTTCCGTTTTAAATTGGTGCCAAGGTGGCTTTCACAAAACAAATTAGCGCCTTATCATAAATTATGAAGCTGCAGAGAGCCAGTCTGGCCAGGGCATTATTCGTCACCTCTTTTCTCTCAGCCATTTTCTCCTTTAAGTTAAAAGTCCTCTTTCAACATGCATGAATGCATTTCGAGGGAAGCTCAAATAGAACGCGGATGAATGAATCGGCCCGAAGTGAAAGGTAAACGCGTGAATAGTTGGCTGATTAAACGAGTGCCTAAAACACTCAACAAATCTACCAAGAGCTCTCGAAGTGTTTTCGTTTTGTCGCAGCAAGTTGAATAATTTAAGGGGTTATATCCAGTTGCGATTTTGAAAAAATCGAAATTTTTTTTTTTGCCTATTTTGAATGTATATATATCTAAGAAGATTATCTGAAAATTTCAAAGTATTCCGGTAAATAGTATTGGAGTAATCAGTGTATTTGTAAAGACGTCTCCCATGTAGTTCAACTAGTAGCCAAAACTTTAAACGCGTTTTTCTCGAAACTATGTCTTCAAAGTCGGTGAGCAAAATTTCTCAGAGACGGCTTGTCCGATTGACTTGAAACTTTCACATTCTCTTCTTAGATATTTTTTCAGGTAATGAGACTTGGAATTTTGGCTCCGACAAAAATTTCGATTTTTTTGCCACTTCAAAGTTGAAATTTTTGTGCCAAAAACAAAGTTTTATGTTTGGGAAGCCGCCATTTTGTCAAAAATCAAAATTTTGAAAATCCCAAGTCTCATTACCAGCATTTGTCTATTCTTTACGTAATCCTTCTGGTTTTTTGTATTTCTGATCATTTGGACCGGAGATATTTTCCTCACCGCAAAACCCTTTTTTGAAGTGGATCCTCGGGAGATCCTCTACAGGACCGACGGAGTCCAAAATTTTTTCTTTTAAAAATGTATTCTAAAACTAGAAAAAATTACCTATCTTTTCGTATATAACACGTATACATACAATAAATAGCCTCTCCAAAAATAATTTTCAAAAAAGCTCATTTTTTTGGCCTCGCAACTGGATATAACCCCTTAATCCCTTTTCACCAGTTCCAATTGTTTATCTATAGCGGCCCTTAGGGTGCAACAACTTTGTAAAAATTCCTTCAGCTTGCCAAAAATTCTTGGCCAAATTATCGCACTCCATTTAAAGCACTCATACGCAGTGTAGGCCAATTTCGGCACATTAGCAGGAGCTGCAGAATATTTTGTAAGTAAGCAGGAGTCGGAAATTGGCAGGAAATTTCGCAACTACTAGAAAATCATTTTCCAAACAGTTTCCGAGCAATGAAAGATAAACACCATCCCAATTAGCTGTCATAAAGTTTGCTCTGCCATTCTACTTCTAACTCATGTAACCCGCACTTTAATGATGAAAGCCACTCAAAGTTCGACTTGCAATTAATGGCGTTGGCCCAAACTGTTTCGGTTACCTCAGTTTACCTAGTGGGCAATACTTCCATGTGGCCACATAAATCCCCCTGCATGTTTTCTCCAGGGAGCGCAAGCATAAGTTAAAAACTTTGCAGCAACAGTGCCAGCCAGCCATTCATTAGCATGTAAATTTGAAAATTTATCAGCTGTTGGTCTCCGTTTCAGCACTCAGGAAAAAATAGGGAAATCAAGGTGGAATATTCGGGATTTTTACATCAAAAAAAATCTTTGTAATGGTTTAATTAAACCTTTTATGCTATTCATTAAACTACAAAATTGTTATAAAATTATGCGTATTTTTGACAACAAAGTTTATTTTGAATAATTATGCCATCATTTTTCCCAAGTACCATTAAGGACCTGCTTGGTCCTCGCTTGGTCCTCGCTTGGTCCTGGCTTTTGTGTGCTCGTCCTGCTAGCGGAACTTTCCCACTTTTCGGAGCACGAACCGCAGCTGGTTCGGTGGAAGCTCCCTAACTGCATCAGCTCACATGACAAAGTTTGTCGCACAAATTATACGCAGATCGAAATCGAGGCCAGCTGGAGGAATCTCCAGACGTACTATGTTAACAGTTTGGCTGCCAGATGCCGTGGGATCTACATATTTATGACCATGACCCCGCAAATTTGCTCAAGTGCTTCGTGAAATTGTTGTGGTAGCATAGATACCATAGTTCAAAAAGTTCAAATGAATTGTAATAAACGGCTTGGACGCAAATATTTAGAGCTTACCTAGAACGGAAGTGTAATAATTGTGAATCATATTTCCTTTTCGTTAAACTCTTATTAACTAAAAATAACCAGCTGACACGCTTAAATTATCTTTAAATTACACGCCATTTTATTTTAGTAGTTGTGGACATGCCTGATTTCTTTTGTTTGCCAGCCAGTTTCTTATCGGACAGTCCAAAGAGTAGGGGAAGGAATATTAAGCAAAAACGATAAAACAAAAATGTATATGTATGGCTAATATTGACAGAAGTTATTGATTACAAACGTAAACAGAAGCGGCGTCTGAAATGACTGCACTGATTTTAAGATACTGATAGTAGCAATAAGTATTTTTCCTAGTGGAAAAGTGGTGGTTAAAAGTGGTGCTTGTTCCAGGGTCGGAGTGGTGACCCTTAGTAAGATAACGATAGCAAATGTATTTGCCTTCGGACCGGTGCTGTCTGGTTTTTGGAACCGTTGCTAATATCTGGGTATTAACTAACAGCAATTTTACGGGTTGCCCAGGTGTATGTTAGCATTATAATCATGCGGAAGACCCCCAAGATAAGAATCGATGTCTGGTTTGGGTTTCAGTTTTTCGAGAACTGTGCTGCGATCTGCACAACTTTATTAGCGGGTGGTTTTCTATTACAATGGATACATAAGTGGAAAATAAATTGTAGGAGAAGTGTAAATGGTTTTTAAGTGAATTTTTTATTGAAGAAAACATATTCAAGAACCTTATTCATACTTAAATCCAATTAATGGTGGACCGCAACAGTGGAATACAATACGAAAGAATGCCAACGGTTACTTTCAGGTAAAAATAATAAAAATTTATATATTCTAACATAAGATTCATAATCCAAAAATATGTCAGGTACTAAAAATAAAGTGCAATTCGATCTTGTTAGTTGAACTTGATCATTTTCGTTGTGCACATAACTAATTAAATATGGTGTATGATATTCACACTTGCAGTTCGTTTTCAGACACTTCACTATATTTTATGATGGTGTTAGATCTTTCATAATTTTTTGGCTAAACTTGTTAACACATATCACGTAACTTTCCCTGAAGCGGATGAGTCAGTCGCAAGTTTTTCCCTTTTGAAAAATATAACCTATACATTTTTACGTCACATCTTTACAATTATCGTACTCTTTGATGTTTTTTGAGAAGCCCAAAAAAAGTGACTCAGTTGGGTAAACATTTGCTGCTCTTGAGATCGGCAAACAGCGTTGACCCAGTAAACAAGTCAAGAGGACTGAGGTCTAGACTAAAGTCTAGACTGAAAAAGATAACCGTCGAATTTTACTATGGAAAGAGCTTTATATAGCACCCTGCAAAAGGCAATTAACAAAATTGACAACTTGTTTTGATGACGTGATACTCAGATAGCAGTTACAGATTTCAAAACAAATCCAGATACATAAGATTTGAGTACTAACACCACTCAGAAGACGCTATTTACAGCATGCGTGTACATAATCCCCGACTGATGAAGTGCAAATAGGCTAATAAATTAAGGCAATAATAGGACTGCAATAGATTTATTTACACACACGGATCACTCTCGTACTCGTACGGTAAAAATAGCAGGCTAATAACAACGCTAATCAGTTAGTCAAATATCGTCTGGCCGATAGCTCCGGCAATTGGAGTAACTGGCTCGACAGCGCCTCAGTCTTCCCACTGACACGAGTCTGTAAAGGCGCGGAAAATCGCGGTTTGGAGATCGCTGATCGATCGGATACATAGCGCTTAGACTGCTGACCCCTTAAGTCAGGTTCCCGCAAAGAAATTGCGCTGCGGCCCGGAAATGTCGCTAATTAACCTCAAATCGAAAGATATGTACGACGAGCCGATAAATCTGTGGAGGACCAAGCAACGCGTCCATTACCACCACGATGTGATATCGAAAGGAAATGAGTTAGTTTTTAAAAAGAGTTCTCAAATGCAGTGGCACATATACACAACAATAAACAGCAAAGTGAATACAGATGAACAAAACATCATAAATCCCTTAAATATCTCAAAATCTATTGCTTTTAACGTTTTATTACTGACAATAGGTTTTTTTTGTGTCTTTTGAAAGGCCTAAAAGTATTTTATCTTATCAAGGAGGTTCGGCAAAGCCATATAGGTGTCACACCTTGACATTAGCCTTCCGTAGTTTCTTTCTGTGCGTGAAAGCCGTGGCTCAAGTTTCAGACACTGATTGCAGGCAACCGAAGAAACGTGATCACTTAATGTTTGTGTAAACAGTGACAACTCTTTATCTGTTGATGGATGAGACGGCCGTCGGACTTTTATCTGTCCACTTCTGTGCAAATTAGAGGTATTTCCAAAGGAACACGCGTAGTTTCGTTGGCCTTCCGAGTGATAATATCTCAATTTGCGGGCAGAAATCGATCAAAAATCAATCAGAGCTGCAGAGTGCATTAAAAAGTGTTGAAGACTTAACAATGATAATGGCCACCATCAGAATGAAAAGTTCGGAACGTAGATTCAGTTGGTCGGAGAGCATTGTAGCAGGCTGTCGGGTTTCCTTGTGTATATGTGCCACTCGCGGAAGGATCAGGTCCTTGATCGATTGAGTCCCTAACCAATTTCGATACCAAAACAGCAGCCACCGCTCCTCCGATGCCTGCGAGTACATAACCATAACTGCGCCAAAGAAGTCGGCCTCGTTCTCCCGCTCGCCCCCGAACTCCCTGCCCCCCTCGGTGCCCGGAACCCCTCGTCATTCGGTGGCCGCCACCTCGAACCAGGTGATCCGCTACGCCAGGACGAACTGCGACCACTGCGGCCACCACAGCATCCCGGTCATGTCGCCGCACCCCATCTCCCCGCTGGCCAAGTCGCAGACGAACCTCGACCTCGTCGAGCACGCCAGCCAGCGGCAGGCCCTGCTACCGCTGCCCACCATCGGGATGCACCACGAGGACTCCGCCTGCACCCTGCAGGTCTCCCGGCGGCCCTCGCTGCTCCTCCAGGAGATCCTCACCCAGCGGCCGCCGCTCTACGGTCGCAAAGACGGCAATGGGTTCCTCTCGCCGAAAATGGCCAAGAATGGGTACATTCCGCGTTGCATAACTCAAATTAATAAGAAAAAATATATAATTATTTGATTTTATTCAGATTTAATACATACATACAATTTCACGGAGTTAAGTAATTATTTTACTAACTAACTTAAACATTTTTCAGTAACCTGCAGGGAACAGCGAGCGGCAGCACAGCGACCATAAATTTTCAGAGCGGCACGACGAGTGCCAGGAATGGATCCACAGCCTTCTTCGATAATGGGGCCAAAAGTTTTCAGGCCAAGCAGCAGAAGGATAAGAACCGACGCACAGGAAAGTAAGTAGCAGAAATCTGATTAAAATTTAGTTACTTTTGGCTTATAAAAATAAATATCCTTCCAGCGATGCCATAAGCTCAGCTCTCTCGGCCACCTACTGCAAGCTGTTGGTTCTCCTTGGCGTTTGTCTGCCGATCACGGAAGTTATATCCGATCAGATACCCACCTATGTGTACCAGGGGTTCTACGTGTACCTCTATGTGGGCAGCATACTCTTTGTGATCTTCCTGTACATCAGTGCCTTCCGGAACCGATCTCTTTTCAATGCCCTGAAAGACTTTCGTAAGTTCGAAAGAGGTTGTAATAAAAATGTTAGTTTTAATAGTAAATATATTTATTTTTTAGATGAAAAGAACAGCAATGTGCATCTGAAGCACAAGGTCACCCACTTCGGCAGCTTCTACCTGAGGGTGGGAGCTATAGCCTTCGCCATTGGCACCATGGTCTACTCCGGCCTGGAGTTCGGCCAGTTCTTCGAGCTGAACGGCCACCCGGGATGCCGGGATGTCTTCGTGGCCATCACGCCCATCTGCAGGATGGTGCTGTGCATCGCCCAGGTGCAGTTCATCTTCCTGAACACCACCTACATGGACATGGCCCGGCACAAGGTGACCTCGCGCTTCGGCCTGATGCACATGGTGGCCACCAACCTGTGCGAGTGGCTGTACGTCCTGGTGGAGGAGACCAAGCACGAGATCTTCCACATCAGCCAGCACGAGGTGGATCCAGCCCACGAACTGGTAATCCACAATGCCACGCACAGTGGAACGGACTGGTCGGCGGTCAACCAGTCCCTGCACCAGCACCACCACCACCTCCCCCTCAACAGCAGCCTGCTGACGAACGTGAGCTCTATTATCGCGAACATGACTGTGACGCCCACTCCCACGGCGGCCGCCTTCACCGGCTGTTCCCGCACCACCATCATGGGCGCCCTGGTCCAGCAGCTGTCCCCCTTCCTCTTCCCCTGCACCATCGAGTACTCCCTGATCTGCGCCGTTATCCTCTTCGAGATGTGGAAGACCGTCAAGTCCATTCCGGACATCGACAAGTCGCGCAAGAACTCCGTGAAGCCGGTGACTGCCAAGCCCGCCCACCACTTCTCCGTGGACTGCTCGCAGTCGCACAAGGGACTCTTCTTCGGCATCATGATCATAGTGATGACCATCATCTCCATGATCATGTACTTTGTGCTGTACACCCAGCCGGGCTACGAACTGGTGGCCACCCAGGAGGTGACTCTGTGGGAGACCTTCATGTACTTCATGTGCGCTTCGGCTGTGATAACCGGTAGGTGGAAATAACAAAAGCAATTTAAGTAGAAATTTGTATTTAAGTAGTTAAAAATAAGAAACTTTAATAATAATTAATAATAATTAATAATAACTAATAATAATTAATAATAATTAATAATAATAAATAATAATTAATAATAATTAATAACAATTAATAATAATTTTTTTTTTCTTTTACCAGGAATGATCCTCATGCGCGACCTTCGGTACATCAAGGACGCCAGCGACGAGCACCACTCGATGGACCTGGACAACCTGCTGCTGATCGTGGCCCAGACGGGGGTGTACCTGTACGGGATGTTCAGCATCCTGGGCAGCTACTTCGCCAAGTGGGACACGGTGCCGGATCGCGTGGAGGGCATCATTGCGGAGGTGTTCGGGGTGGTGCAGACCTCGCTGCAGACGATGTTCATCCTGCACGCGAGCCACCGGCGGTGCAAGGGCGCCAAGCAGGTGCGCAGGAAACCGGGCAGGGAGATCATCACCTTCCTGCTGGTGGCCAACATCGCCATCTGGTTCGTGAACACCCTGATCAAGGGCAGGGCCGTCTTCCGGGAGACGCACCTGGAGTTCTTCGGGGTCTGGGGCTGGACCATCATCACCCACATCTCCATGCCGCTGGCCATCTTCTACCGCTTCCACTCGACCATCTGCCTCTTCGAGGTCTGGAAGGTCACCTACAAGGCCAAGGCCCACTAACCAACTCAGTGATCAGTTTCCCTAGCTCTCCTCTAAGTTAATTTAAAGTCAGGCGTCCACTTGTGAGCATTAGTTAATTTATGTTTAGGTGCGAAATTCGTTGACATCGCTAGCACGAAATAAAGATTTAATTTATTCAGCAACTAAAGTTTTGCTTACATAACTGTACAAAATATTTAAATAATTCGGCCGACTACATGTGGCATTTGTGTACTTTTCAGTTAGCAGGTAATGAGGTGTGAATATATTTAATAGCTGATTTGGTTACCTAATTTTAGTTGACACTTCAAATTGGGAACGAATCGCAGGTCCCATGAATGCACACGCTCTAATTGCGAAACCAGATTATCACCTTAATATAATAAAGCCCTGCAAATAAATGGATACAATCGGAACAGATGTGATTTGGTGACAAATTGCCTCGATCCCTGAACACCCTCCGAAAAATCGCGTGACCCAAAAGCCAAATCAGGTATTCGTGTATCGAATTTATCGTGGCTCACATAAATCTTGAGCCAGACAATTGACAAATCGGCGTTTCCGTTTCCTGTTGCGTATGCTCCCCCAAGAAAAACGTCAAAATGGAGCGGGATTGAAATCGAAAGGATGTTGAAGGTGGGCGGTTGAAGGGGAAGGTCGTCTCATGGGCATAAATTTGATACGCCCAAAACACACGGGCAGACATCGATGTGTTGGGGTTACTGCAGGTAAAGGACTTTCAAACACAAACATCGAGGTAAATAAAAAGGTACTGAGCCATGAAGTTGATGAATTGGCGCATTTAAATTATGTATTTATGGGGAAATCGGAAAAATTGTTATTCAGGTGGCTTACGCAGCGATAATAAACGGGCAATTTGGGGTTAACAAATCGGGTGATGTATGGCTTTATCACGTCCTTCCGCCGAACACGTGATTGAAATAACAAGGGCAGTCAAACAATCAATTGGAGCCGTTAACTTTAAGCTATTGATACTCCGGCCTGCACTTATACCCCATAATTAACATTAAAGCTGCGAAATCCAGAAAAAACAACAGTGCAATAAACAAACATTTATTTAAAATAATATTCCGCTCACGTGCAGGGAAAATTTAAAGCCAACTCGACGACAGGACGAAAATCACGTGCATCACACGTGACTTATGCGTATTTAAGATGCAATTACCGAGTAAATAAGACGAACGCGGAGAGCTTACGGATGTCAAGCGTGGAAAATAAGTTTCTCATTATCTCGAACCACTTCTTCGGTTGAAGAAAGTATTTCTGCAATATTAACGGAGCAGCTATAATCTTTAACACTGCTTGTATTTATTAAACCAATATTTACCAGACACCAATTAGAACCTTGGAAAAATTATCGTTTTATGAGGCATTTAAATTCTCACCAAGCTTAAATAGCCATCATAATTAGAAGGCTGCCGCAATTTTCAGCGGAAGCGTGCTAATTGCAGGTAAAAGAGCAAAATGGAAGAAATGCGAAATGAGGAAACTAATTAGAGGGCCGCGAAGCGAATCGAAACGGCACCCAGTTCTTTCATTATACTTTAATCTGCGCGGTAAATAATTCCTCGGGCTGCTTGTTCGAGTTCAAGTTCAAGACAAAATAACTCGATTTCAATGGGTTTCGAGGGGCGGGGGCATTGTCAACAGAATGCCTCGATTGTCAACATTAATAAATCAGTTGGGAAAACTTGCAGTCGATGGCGCTTTTTATGATGCCATCATCAGAGTGCCGACTGTGCCAGATGTCAACCGCTTGGCTCCAGCCGGAAAATGGAGTCGGGAAAACGGCACGAGCGGAGCACTTGTAAGTGGAAATGGCGCGGAAGCGCTAAGGACAATGACGGACGTCGACGTTGACATCGAGGATGACGAGCTGTGCGTTCCGAGGCTGACGGCCTGCCGGGCTCCCTTTCCCGGCGGAAATGGCGTTTCCATGGAGGTGACACCGCCGCCGGAAGCGGAAATTTAAAAACAGGGCAAATGGCCGGGCAAAACGGTCAAACAACTGACGAATGCTAATCAAGATGGGAAGCAGGCGAAGGACTCCGAAATTATTGAGGCATGCCCAGGAAGCCAGGTTCATTTAACTAGCTCCACTCTTAATGTTTAATGTTGCACCATTTTCAATGATATTTTAATCATCATTTCTGTGCCACTTTGTCCTGCTAGTCACGAAAACTAGTAAAACTCGATCTAAAGCAATCAATTCTTAGTCAATTCCACGCTTTCCAACATCTCTCAACTTCTCTGGCGAAACTTTATGCACATTTGCTGCAGAGCGAAGGCAGTCAAAATTAAGTTTTGTTCGATTTGAAGATGAATTCGAAGTTTCGGCCAGTTATTTCGAGAGCAGAAGTTTCTAGTCAGATACTATTGTGTGAAGCTGCTCGCATGCCGAGCAAAACTTTCGGGTGTACGAAGTTGAAGTCTATCAAAAGCGCTCGAATCAATTGTGAAGCGATTTGGATATAGCTGCAAGTGAAATGTGTTGCTCTGAAAGCTTTTCAAGCTGCAGCAGAAAGTAAATACAAATAGAACCATTCACTCGCCATTAAGTGAAACCGACGAGGGACGAGCATCACGTAGATCGAAAGCATTTTTCCTGTCTTGAGGACAGAAACTGAAACAAAACGTGTTCCCGGTGGCAAATCTTTTGTGGCTCCCCAAGTTCGCCTCTTTGGCACCCCGGACACGTAAGCCACGCACATGGATGGCTAAAGACATTAGAGCGACACAATTAACCTTTTTAAAGGAGGATGTCAACAGTTGGCGACGGGTTGTGGTGTCATGTGGTCGGATTATGGGAAGGGGCTTAAAGGACGACCGAACAATTGATGCTTCTCGTGCTCCCTGGAAAAAAACTTGAACGATAAACGGTTGCTTGGCTGAAACAATTCAAATTCCCGTTTGGAGAAACAAAAAACAGGATTATTGATCACATTACTGTATCGGATTTCATTATTCTTTCATTTCAGTGCTTACAGCTTAAAAATACAACGCGAACCTTAAACAACAATGCATTGCGCAGGGAAATTAAATTCAAGCGTTTACATTTTTTTCCAAAGAGGAAAATACTCGTATGGCAAAATTTTAATAAGACACCGAGGACAGCCAGAGGCACTTTCAATTTGTTTTCCGCCGCGGAAACGGGGAATTCCCTTCAATCCAGCCACAAAGCAAGCACATGAGGCAATATTCCACTCGGAAGGTATACAAAACATTCCAGGGGTAACGCAATATTTTCGTTGAGTGGAAAATTAAACACAAGCTTACCCGGGTGACGAAAAGACGAAGATATCATATTGCAGCTTGACGGTAATAAGATTACTTCTAAGATTGAAATCGTAGAGACTTGAATTTCTGCAAGCGGCTTAAAAGTTGACAGACGAAGTTCGGATTTTGGGATAAACTGAAAACCTCACATTTATGAACCGCAGAAACGGTCGTGTAATTGGGCGAAAAACTTTCCCGGACCTCGGTTTTATTTGCCGTGGAGATCGACATTTGCGCCATGAAAAATTTACTGGCCATATCTAGTTATTGAAACTCTTTTCATGTTCATATTTTACGACAGTTGCTCTGCTCCCAGGGGCCCTGCAAAAACATTCAATTGCAGAGCAAGAAATGCGCAAAACTGTCAATCATTTCCACGGGTTTTTTATTTCACTGCCGCACCACATGGCGGATGAGTGATTGGCGGAGTAGGTGAACTAGCCATGAATAATGAAATAAAAGCAAATGCTGCAAATGACAATCGCAGGGCCAATAAGCCGGGGCACAAAAAGCAGCAACTGAATAATGAAATCATATCCTTAGGACACCCGCAAAAGCCCTCTCGTATATCAATTTTATGGGCGACAAAATAACTTTCTCAACGTGCGAAAAATCGGCAAAAAAGAAACAAATCAAAGTGCGGCCCAAAAGCCACACGAAATAATTCATTTCCCTTGTTTTTTATTTTTAAAGATAGATGTGGCGAGGACAGTAATAAAATATTAAAAGAAATCCGGAAATCTCGAATGCAGAATAGAGTCGCAAATGTGCGCTTAGGTGGCCGTTGTGCCTGCCGTAGTTCCAAACCATTTACTGATGGAAATTTGATGGAAGGTTCATATCACGTATACGCCCCGTGGGACGTGCCAAAATTGAAACCTACGTTGGTCAACAAATGTGACACTCTCGTAGATTTATTCTTTTGAATGGTTGTTTGATTTCAGCTGCCGGGGGGCCTCACATTGTTTTAGTTAAGTAATCTACGATGTCCTGATCGAAAGTTACTTCGGGTTGCCCCTCTGGAAGCCACCTGCTGCTCCTCCTTTCGGAGTCACCTTCCCCATCATCCTGTTCCTGACCAGGCGGGCCCTTTCCGTGGGCGTCATCTCGCCGACCAAGCGGGCCACCTCCTTCACTTTGTCGACATCTGGTTCGGGGTTTAGCGCCTCGCCGAAAGATAGTTTCTTTTTCTTGTTGGCGGTCTCGGAGTTTGCATCTCTGTGTTGTTGCACAGTCGCCGGGGCACTAATGTGGGGTGCTTTCTGTTGGGGTTTGGTGGTCTGTTGTGTAGTTGGCTTTTTGGAAGTGCTAGCTGTGGTATCTGAGGAAGCTTTTTGTGTATTTTTGGCAGAGTGTTTTACCGATGTGGTTTTCGGTTCAGGTTTCTTCTTTGATTTTTCAGGACTAGGGGATTTTCGAGTAGCCTTGTCACTTTTGGACGACTCTCTACGAACCTCAGTAGTCTTTGCCGGCGCACATATGGTCGCTCGTCTAGAGGAAATTTTATGTAACTCCCTGGAAGAAGAACACTCTTTTTCCTCTCGGTGACTGACTGTGTTTCTTCGGCTTTTGCGAACGTGGTTCTTTGATTTAGGTGGCTCTGGCGAAACTGAAACCGATCTACGTGAATGCCTCGACTTTCTCGAATTCCTTCTAGCTTCTTCTTTTTCAAGCTTCGGTTTTTTCGAGGGGTTATCTTCAGTTTCCGAGGAAGATGGAGAGTTCTTTGATTTAGGTGGCTCTGGCGAAACTGAAACCGATCTACGTGAATGCCTCGATTTTCTCGAATTCCTTCTGGCTTCTTCTTTTTCCAGCTTCGGTTTTTTTGAGGGGTTATCCTCAGCTTCCGAGCAAGACGGAGAGTCAGAGCGATAGACACTCGCTCTGCGGGAATGCCTCGACTTCCGTGGGGTTCTCGATTTAGATGAGCTCCGACTTTTTTCCCGACACTCCGATGACTCACAATGACATCTGCACGGATTCGATCTACAGGTTTCGCCATCCTTTGGTTTCTGCTCAGGTTCTATCTTGGTTTCCAGGACCGCCGAGGTCCTTAAATTTTCACTAGCCACCGGCAAATAATATTGGGTGAAAGGGAGGAAGGAGGTTCCAAATCTGAAGCCCCCCGCAAAATTGGGTTCACATCCGGGAGGCATTTGCGACTTTGTGAGGACATTCATTACTGCCTTGAGGGTGCAACACTCATCGGAACAGTACTTGGATAGCGGACGAGCTCTGCGATAGCAAAAACATATTCCCATCATAGAGTCGTTCCGAGGAGCTTGGAACAGCTCCTCCAACAGGTTGCACTGAGTATCCGTCGATGTCTGTTTGACTGGCTTTGATTTCGGCTCCGGGCGTGGTGCCTCCCTCTCCTCCGATGGCTCCACCTTTCTGACTGCTACCTCCGGCTTGGGATCCTCTTCTTCCTTCCAGACTACTGCCTCCGGCTTGGGATCTTTCTTTTTGGCTGGTTCCGTGGCTGGTTCCTTGGCCGGTTCTTCCCTCCTGGAATCCCTTCTCTGCCTTCTTCCCTCTCCTCTGCGTCTTGGGGTTTTCGGCACAACTTCTGGACTCCTCAAAGGCGACGTTTCCGGTGAGCACAGCTGCTCCAGACTCTGAGCAGCCCTTGCACTGCACATAGGCCTCCTGCGAGGGTTCCGCCTGCCAGACGAGTTCATCCTGGCTGCCATTTGGCTTGTGCAAGGGGGAGAATCCTCCCTTGCCACCGGTGGAGTAGAGCTGCTCTGGACGGTGCACTTCAGTCGGGGATTCACCAGCTTGCAGCTGTCGCAGAAGTATTTGTCGTACTGATCGCCGATGTCCTTGGTCAATCCGATGCAATCGCCGTGGAACCACACGCTGCAGCGGTCACAGCAGCTAGAGAGGATGTGGAATACAGTCAGGAGGAGGGATTCGATACCTACTCTACCTACATCATAAATCCAAACGTACTGGACTCGCGGCAAATGCAATGAACCTCCGGAGTCTCAGCTTCTTCCGGCTCCTTGGCCATCTGGTTAGCAGAAAGGGATTACTTGAATAGGAGGATATATCTATCTAGATCCACTTAGCTACTCACAGATTTTTTCCTGCGCACGACTGGCATATCTGATTTCCGATCGAAACTGCTTAGGACTGATTAATTTTTTCAGCACAGTGACGTTTCACTTTTGACAGCTACGCATCGCCTGCTTTTGCAAGTCATTGCGAAGACTTTGGTATTTTTTTCGGTATATAGTATTTAATAGTTTTCTCCTGTCTTGACGGTTCATCACTAGGGAATAACTGTAAATGGGGTAATCGGGTTAATGTCTAACTCGATAGGTAACGCAATATACTTCAAATAGGCTATTATTGTTTTTGGATCTGGCAAAGCCCTAAAATTCTCTAAAAATGCAATCAACTTCGATGTGTTCTGCTGCAATTGCAACTCCATTTCCATCGGTTTCTCCCCTTCGGGACATGAATTATTTATTTGCGACTGCACATGGTGCAGTTTTGTATAACCAATTCACTGTCTGTGGGGTGAATAAACACGGTTACACAAACTTGCAAGCTAGGAAACAAAGTTGTCATCATTCGGGCCTTGAAACATCTGTCAAGTCAAAACTCAATGCCTCGCCAAATAATTGTTTTGCTTCTAGCTTTAAGCTTGACTATCGAGGAAAATCTGTTAAATTGGACTTGGATCAGAAATGGTTGAAGCTTAATTTGGCTAATGAGATTACATTTCCAATTAACAACTGTCTGAGCTCTTAAGCAATCAGCCTGAATTTAATTATTCCATAACTTTTGCATGTATGTAGTTCCTATCTCATTTTGTACTTGTGCAAGCAATTAACTTTCTTGTTTACCCACATGGCCAACAAATTTTGGAGCACCCTTCGCCTAATGCTGTTTTTATGCCCACCCACTGTGTCCTATCTATTCCCCTTTCCTTTTTTTTTTTTTTTTTTTTTTTTTTTTGGAATTTTCCCCGCTTTATCCCAGTGGTGCCATTAACGTTTTTCCCTCATCTGCTGGGCTTGCAATTTAGATAGTTGAATTGCCCCTTTGTTGCACTTGGCGCAGAGCACAATATTGATAAAGTTTAAAACCAAATAGAATCCTCTTTCATTTCAACCTAGATCAGTCGGACCCTATAACGAAAATTGATCGGAAAAGTAATCAGGAAACGAAATTGGACACCTGACACACTCAATTAGCATTCTTCCGATCGAATTAAGTTGTTTCCCCTTGGTCACTCAATTTTTATATGACAATTGCTTTCGGTGGTTCATTTTTCATCGCCCCCGAAAACTCAAATTGGCGTGGTACGACAACATTTACATGTGGCATTTACACTTATCAACATTATGTTGGGCGACGCCTGTTTGTGGTCGTGTGCCACACATTCGGGTTAACATTGCGTATGAATAATTGAATATTTCTTGTTTTTGCGCTCGCTTTTTTGCCCCCTGTTTGATTAATTGTGCACACACGGCGTGCTGCGCCGAGCTGCGTAAAAAACGAGATGGCTCCATCACACTTTAAGGCCCGAACAGCAGATGAAAACAATTGCATTTTGACCGCAGAACGACGGGCAACTGACCTAAAAAAGCTTACGGCTGGCAGGTGCACAAAAACGATTGTTAAGGCTCAAAGGAAATGGCAAAAACCATACAGAATATTGTGTAAACATGGCTTGCTCAAAGCCAAAACTTGTCAGGATTTAAATTGACAGAAAGATGGCTTTGAGTCGCATCAAATCGGCTATTTGGATGTCAGAGAAATGTTAGGAATTGACGAATCAATTGATTTTCCTATGCTTCTCTGAAAAATATATTTAATATTACAATATTGTGGTTTTTATTCAAAGAAGGCTAGCCTTTCTTAAAACAAAGTATCGAATATCAAGTTTAAGGCCAAAGTTGGCTTAAAAGTCAAATCAAGGAATACGATTTGGATCTCCCACTGGGAAATTCGACAGCCACAACTTCGGTTTGCATGTGGCCCGTAAAAGTGAATTTAGGTTGAATGTTCTGTCGGCGAATGGAAAATGCAATCGACAAGGGTTTTGAATGGCAAGGAACTGCCTTTGTGAGCAGTCAAAAGGCAGCAATAAAATTACCTGCGTCACACAAATGGCAGGGAACTCGAATCGAATTGCAGCCAAAGATAAAAAATGCCAGACACACAGAGGATTATATTGTACGTACAAGCATGCTGGTAAATGTGGAATAAAGTCCTGATTAAAGATCTAAGCTTTTAGCACGATTTGCATTTGCCGGCCAATCTGCACCAGAAAGGGATTTTCAGATTTCTGGAATTCTCCCATTTGCTGGGGCGACATTTCTGTGACTTGTGAAATAAAAATTGCACATATCTTACGGGAATCTGGGGGCAACCCTTTTTATTTAAGAGGCAATACAAAATGGGACAGACCCTACAAAATATAGTATCGTTGCAATAAGGTTGGTATTGTAAAAACGAACTTCGTTCGGCGTAAGTCATTTCTTTCCAAAAAACACACAAAAATCATTTAAAATATGAAAAAAAAGGAAGCTGGCTTTGGCAAACCGAAGCTTTTATACCCTTGCAATATGTCAACAAAACAAAATACATAAAGGTTAAACAACATCGAAGCTATAACGAATTTTCGATTAATTTTCCATATTTTCGACTATGAAAATTAAAGTTTTAATTCAAGAGTCATTAGAAAACTCTATATTTCAAAAATCGTGCTTGTCCGATCGGAAACAACGATGTCGTAATTTTATTTACGTTATTTCCATATAAATTTTTCGATCTTTCCAATGGCAGCTATATGATAACGTTGGGAAACTACACCATGGAATTTCCATGTTTTGACAATAGCTTGGCTTTGGTTATATTGTTTCTTTTTCTGCACTTTGCACTTTGCACTTTGACTTTCAGTGATAGCATGAGTACGAAATAAAATCGTGCATTCCTACATTTGACTCACCGGCCAGAGCTTGATTTAAATTAACAAAAAAAACAACGACCTTATAATTTTTTTCCATTATTTTGTGATATTTATGATGCTTGCGACCTCGAATCAGTTGGAAAAACACTAACACGCTTCCGCTCCGATAAATAAGTTCACAAAAAGAGCAAGACACAAGTGTCTACGTGAGTGGATCACTGCGGACGGACAGTATTTAATCTTCCATACGCGGCGAAGCTTGAACCATTCGCATCCACTCGCCGGAATCGAAATGTGCTACAGATATAGCTTCAGCTTCGCCCTGATCGCACTCCTGCTTTTGGCAGCTGGAGTGTTTGGAGCTCCCTCGGACGTCCTGGTGGAGAAGGCGGAGGACCCCAGTGTCCCGAAGCCCCAGCCAGATGGCGATCTGAAGGTCCCGGAGGTCTGCCACCAGCCCATTATAGTCGGTCACTGCCACGCCCTCATCTACCGGTTCGCCTACAACGTGGACACCCAGTCCTGTGAGGTGTTCACCTACGGGGGCTGTGGCGGCAACAAGAACAACTTCGATACCAAGGACCTGTGCGAGCAGGCCTGCCTGGGAAAGTCCGGAGTCGCGGAGTCCACCCCCGAGCAGATCAACGAACTCTCCAACGAATCGAGCATGAGTGACTAGGTTACTCTGCTTTCTACTGTGCAGTTCATAGACTTTTGTGTCATCACCAGTTAATTTTCAAATGTAACTCATAGAAATATTGTTGTTTGAATAAATTAATATGGTTTTTAAGAGAAAGATGTTGTCTAACATACTACGCTTACATTGAAAAAATTTTACAAGAGCGGAACAAACCCATCATTTTAATTAATATCGTTATAATGGATATGACATCTAAAACACGCAGATTCGGGAAACTACAACCTGGAAATTCCAACATTTTCTTTTCTTTTCTACTAATATACACTTTAACTTTCAGTAATAGCATGAGTACGAAATAAAATTGGGCAATATTACATTTGAATCACAGGCCAGAACTTGATTTAATTTAACAAAAAACAAGAAAGGAAGCTTGCTTCGGCAAGCCGAAGTTTATATACCCTTGCAGGCATTAAAAATGTCGAACAAAATACTTAAGGGCTAAACAACATCGAAGCTATGACAATTTTTCTGTTAATTTTCCACATTGTCGACTATTGTTCATATGGCAGCTATATGATTTGGTCGTCCGATTTTGATGAAATTTAATTTGAAACTCTATATTCCAAACTCTATATTCCAAAAATCATGATTGTCTGATGAAAAACAACGATGTTATCATTATATTTCCCGTATTTCTATAAAGATTTTTCGATCTTTCCTATGGCAGCTATATGATAACGTTTTTAGATTTTAATGAAATTTTTTTCTCGATTCAAGGGTTATTAAAAAACTCTATATATAAATAAAACATCATGCTCGTGGAATTACAATCAACGACTTTATAATTGTTTTGCATTATTTATATATATTATATATTTTTTGATCTTTCCTATGGCAGCTATAAAATAGAGTTATCCGATTTTAATAAAATTTAATCCGAAATTCAATAGTAGTTAGAAAACGCCAACTGGAAGGAATCAAGTTGATCTGATCAAGAGCAACTGCGTGAGAATTTTTTATTTCATTCTCTCGTTTGGAAGCTATCCGATATAATCGGCCGATCCGACCCATTCCGACTTATATACTGCGTGCAATAGCTACACAACCTTTGGGAAAGTTTCAGCAAGATAGCTTCAAAACTGAGAGACAAGTTTACATAGAAACCGACAGGAGGACAGACGGACAGACGAATTTCGATTGAGATCGTGATGCTGATCAAGAATATATATACTTTATGGGGTCTAATGTGTTTTCTTCGCCGCGTTGCAAACTTCTGACTGAAATTATAATACCCTTTTGCTCTGCAAGTATGATGTGTGTAATTTGAACCAACTCCACATGGAAATTACATGACTGAGTAGTGGTTGGTGTATCATTTCCTGTAACCACGACCTAATAACATTAAAATTAACAGTTTTGTTAGCAATTTGTACGGCTTTTATAAAATTAGCTTCAACTTCTGAACGTGATGGGGTTTCCCAAAACCATCGATGCGATCAGGAAGCAAGTCGGAATATGACTTTATGGCCGACATTATGACAATTCGACTGCTGCGTTAAACTGCAGCCGAAGGCTGACCAGCTGCTATATGCCATAGCTTTTGAGGGCTGACAGGAGCCGGTGATGTGGGTAATATAGACATCAGCGAAGCTCCGGCGTGATTTACTTGCGACTTCGAATCAGTTGGAAAAACACTAACACGCTTCCGCTCTGATAAATAGGTTCACAAAAAGAGCAAGACCGTGGGTAAAAACCCAAGTGTCTACGTGAGTGGATCACTGCGGACGGACAGTATTTAAGCTTCCATACGCGGCGGAGCTGGAATCATTCGCATCCACTCGCCGGAATCGAAATGTGCTACAGATATAGCCTCAGCTTCGCCCTGATCGCGCTCCTGCTCTTGGCAGCTGGAGTGTTTGGGGCTCCCTCGGACGTCCTGGTGGACCCGGAGGTCTGCCACCAGCCCATTCAAGCCGGTCGCTGCCTTGCCCTCTTCATCCGATTCGCCTATAACGTGGACACCCAGTCCTGCGAGGAGTTCGTCTACGGGGGCTGTGGCGGCAACCAGAACAACTTCGAAACCAAGGACCTGTGCGAGCAGGCCTGCCTTTGAAAGTCCGGTGTCGCCACCTTAACGAGCATGAGTGCCTAGGTTTCTCTGCTTTTTACTGTGCAGTTCATAGACTAATGTGTCATCACCAGTTAATTTTCAATACGCAACTCATAGAAATATTGTTGCTTTAATAAAATAATATGGTCTTATGTTGTCTACTATGCTTACATTGAAAAAATGTTACAAGAGTGAAACTAAATTGAATTGAAATCGTCGTGTGACACCTAGAATACGCAGATTTGGGGGAAACTACACCATGGAATTTCCACGTTTTGACAATAGCTTGGCTTTTGTTTCGAAAAACACATTGTTTCTTTTTCCATATAATATGCACTTTGACTTTCAGTGATAGCATGAGTGCGAAATAAAATCGAGCAATCTTACATTTGACTCACCGGCCAGAGCTTGATTTAATTCACTCTATGTACAGCTAAGTAAATAGGTTTATTAGGAGCCGGCTGTTCTAATCGCAATTTTTCCCACAGCTATCTGCGGAAGTTCACTAAGTCACTTCTTTGCCTTAATATAACCGAAAAACAACTAAAAATATAGTGTTACTTTCTTTCTTGTTTAAACATTCAACATTAGCAGAGCAAGGTTTCGATCCTCGGACCTCTGGGTTATAGGCCCAGCACGCTTCCACTGCGCCACTCTGCTTCTTGGAAACTGGTTAAAAAGAAACCGTTTAATATAGATAAAAGTGCCCTTCCCTACATCCCTAAAATGGTTATTTTTTATGATAGATGTTTATTTTCCAAACAGCTTGAAATAAACCTTAACCGTCATAAACTATGACACAATGTGACGCATTCCACAGACAACTGGCCAAAACTTCACTTTTTAAAAGTCTCCATTTTTTAAATTGGTGCCACAAAAACTATATGATTATTTCTCATGTATTTCAGAGGATATGAAAATGTGCAAATTGACACTTATTTTCGGAATGGAAAATAATACAATTATGTTTTGTAATAATAAAGTTACTTTAATTCAACAAGTTTATTTTAATTGAATTAATTTTTGCCACTTAATTGTACAGACACGAAAATTGTATTTATTTTTCTATTTACGAATGCGACCTATGCCAAGTGCTTAATTCAATTTACTTTAATTGAATTATAAATGAATGCGCATTTTTCAGTTGTAGGCATAGCGCTAAATTAAAGTACAAACAAATTTGTTACATTTTTGTTCTATATAAATAGGCACTTATTTAAAGAAACAAAACAAAGTCATAAAATCGGTTTCCTAATTTTTAACGATATACAGGAAGTGTGGACGGAACGCATAAATAGAAAACATTCCCGTTGACGCATAAATAGAAAACATTTCCCGTTGATTGGAATGCATTTGGAAAATTAAATCATAAAAATGCAAATTAGTGTTTCTTAAGCCATAAAAGGATATTGCGGGCTTGCGAATAAAAACGGTCGGGCATAAAATTCTAATGGAGGATTTTTGAATAATCTATTTCCCATAAAACTGGAGAACATTTGGGAGACTATTGAATAAAACAATTTTGTATCCCCAAAAATACTGATCTAACTGATTATATTGTATACTTCTCAGCTGCTGACCAGCTAATCTTCCTTATCAGAATATAATATGTAGCTCAAAAATTAAAAAAAAAAAAAACAAAAACTTTCGCTTTTCTTTCACCAAGAAGGCCGACATCCGATAAGAGATTGCAAAAGTTTTCCTTGTTCTTTTTTTAAACTTTTCTTTTAAAAAGAAGAAGAGGGAGAACTTTAAGAAGCTTGTAAAATATCTGTCAGTGAATAACAGCTAAGCTAGCTATATTTTTGGAAAGCAACAAAATTTAACATATCCATAAAATAAGATTTTAATGTTTCCTTGTTGGTGAACAAATTGACACTTCGAACGCATGTCAAGCTATCCTTCTACATTAATTAAATATCCCTTAAAATCTAAACTTTTTAAAGGATGTCCTAACTTTTAATACAACCCTGAAATGAAGCTTTTGTATGTACGGTAATATTTCGTGAGCAAAAAGCGTGTTCGCCGCATGTCAAAACCATCCTCGTTGCCGAGTTGAGGCCGCAGTAATTTCATTTTCCATTCACACACGCACTGACATATTAAATTTCAGTGGCTGCCACATAAGTGGGTCTTCACTTAGTTGCACTCCGAGGGCAATGAAAAAGTTTCGCTTAGAAAGTGCGGCGGTTCGTCAATGTTTCGCTGAAGGTTGTGTGTCTGCCAGAGTCATTACCAGCTGGATATATATATGTACGCATTTATAGGGCCGATGTGACACATTTCAGCAGACAACACACTTATTCACTTAGTCGCTGATGGCAATTCGCTCATGATTTTCAATTAACAACTTGACAGTGATGACTTAATTGTTGAGTGTAGCAAGATAGTTTGTGGCAAGGAGTTCCTTGTTCTAAAAAACTTTCGATGGAAAATTATATCCGAAGAATACTTCACCGAATAATCAGCAACAGGTCTGATTCCTTAAAGAACTCCGTGAATCTGTGACAAGTTCCACACAATGCGTAAACAAATAAAAGACTCTTTTGATTGCAACATGTTGCAGCAAACGTGTTGCACGGATAGGAGGAGCCTCTCGAACTTTTCCTAGGATAAATTTCCCTTTCCGAAACATAATGTTAACTTACAGATCGGCAGAGTAATGTTACCACTTTCAGGAATTAGTGCAAAACGAATGCTCAATGCAGACGGTTCACTTAGGTAAAAGGTTAACAATAAATTCTCCTGGGAGTACTGGCAAATTACGAAAAAATTATTTGATTTCCCCTTTAAAAAAGGAAAAGGATGCTGCGGCTCATTTTTTACCCAGGCAGCGATTATGTATACGCCCCGTAGCCCCTTTGAATTGTGCTGAATAATACAATTTATTGCCGAATTTCTCTGGCAAATGGGAGATGGAAAATAAAAAATGGGTTAAAGCGTGTTCAAGCGAATAAAATCCGAACGGTTGAACCGTACGCATAAATTATAATAGACCTTCACCCCGTTACGGTTATTGAACTTGGTAGTTCCACCTGACCTTGTGTTTTAATATTACCCATAAGCGTTGGCATATTGAATATTAATTGGCAGCTTAGCCGTGAATAAACAACAGCAGAAGGATATCCAGCAAAAGGTTCTCGTACCTTGGTTATAACATTAGATCTGCACAGAGATTTTGACATCCTCCCATTTTATTTTAAGAGCATTGCCACGAAAAACAGAAAATCAAAATAAATTATTTTTATTGTTTACATACCAGGGCATTTATGTAATTATCCGCTAATTTATAGCCAGCAGATATAAAATAGAACCTAAGCAAAGAAATTGGAAGTTTTACGTCGCACCATGAACAGCAAAACCTGGAGACAAAAGCGGCTTAAAGTATCAGCCATCATCAATCTCGAGCGCTAGACAAATGGAAAATTTACATTTGGATTCGCTGTTGCAAAATGCCAGCTGAAAGGTTGGAAAATACTTGGGGCAAACCCGCAGGAATAGCAAAACCAAGAAACGTTTGTTAAAGAGTCTCTTTAACTTTGCCATTTTCTGCTAAAAACACTTTACTTATCAAGATTATTTTCCTTTGACAGAGCGAAAACCGCTGAATATCGAACGGCAAATTGAAATTGACAAAAGCAAAGGCCAGGGCGAAATAAAACCCGCAATCGATTTAAAATCCAGCCAATAAAACTGCAACAAAAGCGGAGCAAAGTGAAAGCAAACAAGTTGCTTGCACGCCGATAAAATCAAGCGAGAACGGGGGGAAAATTTTAAAATAAATACCCGACGAGGTAAGGTGAGGTGAGGTTTGCGGGGGAGGAGCTCGCGGAAAACAATAAGAAACCGAGAGCTGCAAATATAAAATCTAAAATTGACCATAAACCCGACGGTGGCCCAGAAATGAAGATAAGCGGCGGCGCAAAAGGAAAACACCAAATTGATATACGCTCCCTTTGTTTTTTGTTTTTGTCCCAGGATGCTCCTTTTCCAGGACGAGCCGAAATTCGCTGGGAGGACTCGGCGGTGGCGGCAGTGCCATCATAATAATTTAAAGTGGAACTGATAATCTTTGGCAGGGCAAAGTGTCCTTGACTGGCGAGGAAAGTCGAAAAGGAAAAGGTGGATGAAAAGTGGGAAATGCGGGGGAAAAGTGCTTAAATAAAGCTGTTTTTGTTGGTGTGTATCTCAGCCATCTTTGTTTTTTGGCAGGCAAAATGTTTGACAGCACTTTCTTGAGACAAAATTCATGTCATTCGCTCCTGCTGATGTTCAAGCTGTTGGCTTTTGGGAAACAACATAAGTTTAGTTTATTATCAGTTTTATGCTAATCGATTTGAAGACACCACAGCTGTCACATCAGTTTGGGTTTAAAATTTGAATGAAAAATTCAGGAGCCCATTCATTCACTTTGCCAACAATATATATTACTTGAATTTTACCCTCAGAGAACCTAATTCTGGTTTTCAGGCACACATAATGAAACTGCAAGAATTTAATAACCATTTGCATAAAGCCCGAATTTGAACGAAAACCCATTCAGATGGAGCCAAAACAAGCAAGCTCATAACTCAAAAATTTGAGCAATCAACAATGCCCTCATATCTATTATTTTCTTGGTACACACACAATTTTCCGCATAAAATACAAACAAGAGAGGGAAAATATGGGGGAAATTCGGTATGCCACCTACTCGCACAAATTCACAAACAATCGCACTCTAATGCATGTGTGCACTTGGTAATGCATTTTCAGATGATTCGGTAACCAAACTGGTTGAGTTTGAAGTTTGCATAGCAAAGAAAGCAATTGAATAATGTGGGGTAATCTAAGGCATTCAGCCACAACGTTGAACCGAAAACGAGTGCAATCAGAGAGGGATTCAATTAAAAGCAATCAGGAAGCTATTTCCTGATAACCAAATAAAAAATGATTGTGATTACTGCGTTTAATTTTCATATTAAATGTTTGCCAAAGTAGAGATCAAGTAAATACGAATGTTTTCAAAATTCGTCTTAGTTCTTACTTAAATAAACATGAGG